CCCCAGTACAGCCAAGTGCAGACCATCTCAGACACCTGCACTCAGGCCCCTGGTCCTAATCATCCTCTCTATGAGGACCTGCTGGGTAAAGCCACGAGGAACCTGAAAATGGGCTCCCACAAAATTGTCCTTAAATGTTAAGCAAGTCAGTTTACTCTAAATTCAAAACAAATGTGTCAGGACTCTGAGAATTTTGTGTATCCTTGACTAACACCATACAGCTTCCAAACTCTGCCCACACTTCATTGTTATTTAATATTGAATCAATGACTTAGACAATAAGATACCTCTCCAAAATGAAAAATAATAAATGTTTCCCAAACCTGCAAGGTACACAAGCACTCTGTTCTGGTTTCCTTAAGAAGTATTTAATATTTGTGTACATCATTGATGTATGGGTGTAGGTGGGGGCCAAAGGACAATTTGCAGGCCTTGGTTCTCTCCTGACACCTTGTGTGTTCCCAGGATGGAACTCAGCTCATCAGACTTGGCAGCAAGCACCTTTACCCTCCGAGATATCCTGCCGACTTTCCTTTGTTTTTATAAAAGATAGGTTGATGCTAAATCAATCATCAATCTAGGATGAGCAAAGCTTTAAGAGAAGGTGGAAACTTCACCAGGATTCCCTCATGTTAGCAATGGCTTCCTGTTTTCCAAGGGTCTTGGAACAAAAATGCTAAGACTTGTCAATTCTAGATTGTTGTAGAATATTGTTTTAAGGTGTGTTACATTTGTTTATATTGCATTTGTTTAACTCTGTGAAGCTGTGTTACTTTGCCTATATAAAACACCAGATGGTCTAATAAAGAACTGAATGACCAATAGCAAAGCAGGAGATAGGATAGGCTGGGCTGGCAGGCAGAGAGACTCTATAGGAGGAGAAATCTGGACGAAAAGGAGAAGTAGCCAGAGAAGGAGTGAGTTCCAGGACAGCCAGGGCTGTCACACAGAGAAACCCTGTCTTGAAAAACAAAACAAAAGGATATTACAGAGGATGCAATGAAGAGATGGATAGGACAACCTACAGGGGTGCTGAGCCTCCACACCCTCCCTGGGGACAACTTTCTCCATGATTTCAGCATCCTCCAAGGAGCAGATCTCTGGTTTTCTAAATTCATTCTTAGAAATACTTATGTCTGGGGCTGGAGAAATGGTCCAGTGGTTAAGGGCACCGACTGCTCTTCTAGAGGACCCTGGTCTATGTCTCAGCACACACATGATGTCTCACAACCACCCGTAACTCCAGTTCTACTGGGAGATATTTGGGGGAAAAAAAAACACAAATGCATGAAATAAAGAAAAAATTTCTTAGAGAGAGAGAGAGAGAGAGAGTGTTCTGGCCATTGACTGGCACAGTGTGTAAAGGTCGTGCTGCAAACCACGACCTGAGTTGCCTCCCTGGGACCCACATGGTGGAAGGAGAGAACTGACTCCCGAAATTGGGATTCTGACTGCACGTGCATTTGGAGGACCTTCCCCTACTCCACCATACACACAGAAGAAAGAAAATGTAATGAAAAATTTTAAAGAAATATTTTTCCCAAATAAACCATTTTAAGACACATTTACAGTAAAGCAAAGCCACAGGGGGGAAAAAACAAAACAAAAGGCAAGTGACTTAGTGTTCTGCTGAGAAAAGACACCATAAGAAAGCATTTGACCAGCACTCGGGAGGCAGAGGCAGGCGGATCTCTGTGAGTTCGAGGCCAGCCTGGGCTACCAAGTGAGCTCCAGGAAAGGTGCAAAGCTACACAGA